TATAGTTATAGTATATAGTTTCGACAAACTTGTAAGAACAAAATATTTATTTAGACACAACATAAATTTACCATTCCCTACATAGTCTTTAAAAATGAAAAAAAAAAGATAAAAACTTAACATGAAAGTAATTTAAAAAACAATAATTTTACTGTCTTTATAAATCACAGATCATGACACAAGAAATACTGAATAATAATAATAATTATATGCTATATAAATATATATTTGTAAAACCTCTATTATACAGTAAATCTTATAATATATTAATATAAAACTTTGTGTTGTAACTTGGCTTATATCTCATCCAGTTTTAGTTCCGTTTAAATAGTTTTTAATCTACATAAAAACATGTAATTTAATGTAAAGGTAATTATAAAATTTGTTTTGGTTTAGATTATTAATATTATCTCTGACTCGTCTTTCATGTGATTAAAATTGTCATTCTGACAGCAGCTATCGGAACTTTGGTCTGATCCAAGATGGCCGCTCTATAGGCACGTCGGCCAGCCTCCAATGAGGCTTCTATGTTGTCACCAGGTAGTCACCTCTGTGTGCCGCTAGCGGGTGAAACCTTATTTAGCTGAAGCTAATCAGACTTGATAGGTTTTCAAAGTTTGTAAAATAAAAACTCATGTCTGTGAAATCTGTTTCTGTGCTGGTTGATGGTGAGAATAGTGAGGATGTGGGAGATGATGATGGAAATTATGACAGAAAGCTGTATGAGACCCCTGACCTCCACCTCCAAGAAATCCTGGAAACCATTCAAGATTCCACACTCTGCTTTCTGCGGCTTTAGGTGACAGTTTCTACCACATGGGGGCGCTCCTCAGCACCTCCTTTAGTATGAAGAAACGTTAAAAACAAGCTGGTGCTGAAATGCAAAACCCAGTGGATTCCACACCCCTGATCTCAGTAACGGTGCACCATTCAGAGCAGCAGCACCTCAGAGAGCCGCTGTTCTGTCAGACCAGCATACCGATAGTCAATACGCATGACCAACACCTCAGATTTCCGTTTATTAAGTTATTGATTATGCTGATCTGACAGATCACCGTTCCACCAAATGTTCTTCCTTTCCTCATCCCTAGAAGGTTAACGACTCAGCAGATCTTATGGTGAACAGTGTGAAAGATGAAGCTGATGATGATGGAGATTATTTTACTCTTTTTCAGTCACATCTCAAAGACAACCAGTTGGGCGGATCCTCGAACGCAGAGCAAAGAGACGCCATCCTGCACAGAACGTAATTTTTAACATCGACCTCCTGCTGTTCCTACAGCAGCCAGCGGGGGGCAGCACTGCCACACTAACTACCTTCTCAGTTTCTGCAGATCAGAACTTTTTGTGTTTTCTGACAGTTCCGGAGTTCTCGGACCAGCCGAGCCAGCTGAGGGGTTACTCCATCCACACCCGCCTCTCCAAGGGACCTCGAGGTTTTGGATTCAACATCGTCGGAGGAAGTCGACCTCAGGAGTTCCTGCAGGTGTACAGTGTCACACCTGGAGGTCCTCCGACTCTCAATACAGGTATGGAGACCGAGTGAGTTGCTGCAGCACCTGTTGATCGGGCCAGAACGCCATCAGCAACGGTAGCAGCTGTTGGTCTCCACCAGTCTGCAGCAGCTGTCAGCCTTCCCAGGAGTGGCCGCCGTACACGGCCCAGGCGCCATATCCACCGCCCGCCACTGCATTTTAATCAAGTTAACTAAAGGTCTGTGATTAAGGCCTCATTAACCCAGAGACCAGATAAGGTTTATCCAGAATAAGTCAACCTTTCAGGACGCACCGCATGCGCCTCTTTACCGCCATGTTTCCCTGTTTAAAATCTCATGCCCACTGGTTTGGTGTGATTCTGTGGCGGTGTCACAGCGCCACCAAAGGACCCTGCATGTGAACTACGGAGTCTTCATTTTTGCTGTGTCTACTTATGTGGATGCAACATTTATGAAATTATATAAACGTGACCCTGACCCAAAAAACAGCAATTCCCCTCGTAGGTTCCAGGCATTGGGCCCAACAAGGAGCAGCTGGTCCCCACAACGTGTCATTTTCCCTGAAAATGGGCCCCATTATGTATTAAAAACAAGGGAACACATGTTATTGTGAACAGCAAATAAAAATAAAAGAATTACAGCTTATTTAACATCCTTTAAATTTTAACGGATATCTTTCCACCCTGGGCTGCTGGCCACCCAGCTCCCGGCCTTCACGCCTCCCCACTGTGGACAGCAGCCTCCTGCTGGGTGACCACAGGTTAAAGAGGAAGTTGAGAAATAAATCAAACTAAAATTTTAATTTCAAAGGACAACAACAAACGATTCTGGAGAGGATAATCGGTGCCGAGCTTCTGTGCTTCTCTACAGACCCCACACATCCTGGACAGATAGAACCTCGAAGGTCTTCATCTGGACTAGAACCAGCCTGTCTATGGAGGACCAATCCTGCCATAATTAAAAATAAATACAGAAATAAATAAATGCTCCAAAAATAAATAAGCATACAATTAACTGCTCCCCAAAAATATAATCCAGCGTTTGGTGTAGAGTTGAGAATTTTCTTTCCTCCTTTAAAGAAGCTCCACCCAGAACCAGGACATTGACTCAGCGCTTTGATTTATCACCAAACTGATTGTCCGTCTTTGGTTCCCGCAGCGGACATCCTGGTTTACATCAATGACACCTGTGTGCTGGGTCGCTCTCACAAGGAGGTGGTGGAGATGCTGAAGTCGGTGCCAATGGGTCAGAGCGTGGATGTGGTTTTGAGGAGAGGATACCCCATGCTTTACAACCCCGATGGATGCCCCAAACAGAACCTGGAGGTGGGGGCCCTCAACCCAATTCACAAAATCAGTCTGTGGTTTCCTAAAGAAAACAAGAA